CTGCTGCTGCTGCTGCTGCAGACCCGTCGTATAGAAGCAGCAGCAACAAGAAAAAAATTAGAGGAAGCAGGGAAGAAGCAAAAAGAAAATGATGAGAAAGTTGAAGAATTAAAATCATCACTACAAAAAGTCCATAAACCCTAAACCCTAAACCCTAAACCCTAAACCCTAAAAATGTTGTAAAAAGGGGGATACATACACACAGCCACATTCTGTTGCTGCAGTAGTTACATCAGGGTTCAAGGGTATTAGGGTTTAGGACTAGGGTTTAGGGTTTAGGGTTTAGGGTTTGTGTGCAGATGGAGGCAGAAGCAGGGACACAGGCAGAGGAACTAAAATCCGTCGAATCCGCACGAGCTAAAGTATAACTCCTAAACCCTAAACCCTAAACCCTAAACCCTAATTATTCAGTGCTAAACCCTAAACCCTAACCGTTAAGCAATGAACCCTAAACCGTATCTGATGAGCTCCAAACCCTAAAGCCCAACCCCTCAGCCCTAAACCCTATCTGTATACCCCTAAACCCTAGCCAGTACGCGCTGCCTAAACCCTAAACCCTAAACCCTTATTAATTTGGCTGTATAGGCGGAGAGAGAGTTACAGAAATTGGTGGTAAAAGATGAAGAATTAAGGGCAGAGGTAGGAGGGGAGGTGTCGCGTCTGCAGAAGAAGGAGCAGCAAGTGCAGCAATTAGAGGAGAAGCAGCAGCAGCAGCAGCAGCAACTGCAGCAACTTGAGCAACAAATGCAACAAAGAGATGCAGCAGAAGAAGCAAAACAAATACAAAAAGCAGAAGAAGATGTTGAGCAAGCAAAAGAAGCTGTTGAACAATATCAACAATCCATCAAAGGTTAGGGTTTAGGGTTTAGGGTTTAGGGTTTAGGGTTTAGGGTTTCGATTTTAGGGTTTAGGGTTTTCATGTATTTACGAGGTAATAGTTAATATTTTGGCTCATTCACCAGCACCTTACTGAGTCTAGGGTTTAGGGTTTAGGGTTTAGGGTTTAGGGTTTAGGTATGTGTGTATATGTATAATATATATGTACAGGAGAGATACAGGAGTTATCTAGTGCGCATGCAGAAGCAGAGAAGGTGCTGCTGCAGCAGCAGCAGCAGCTGGATAGACACCTAACAGCAGCAGCAAAAACAACATCGGCATTAGAGATACTAGAGCGTAAAAGGAGACAAATAAAAGAGAGACAGCAGCAAGCAGAGGAGGAATTAAAAAAATGCAAAGATTTAGATATATCTAATGCTGCTGCACTGCAGCAGCAGCAGCAGCAAGCTGCAGCAGCAGCAGCAGATCTTGCTACACTCCAGCAACAAAAAAAAGATGTTGAACATGCACTCGCACAATTTGAACAACAACTCTTCACCTCTAAGGGACTTCTTAAAGGAGTAAGGGTTTAGGGTTTAGGGTTTAGGGTTTAGGGTTTAGGGTTTAGGAAGTGTTTGCAGGTGTCTCTACTATTTATCTTTTGTCTCCTTTTATTTTCTTTTTCTTTCCTTTACTGCCATAACTCTCTCCTTTGCTGCTGCTTATATCTCCTGCTGCCGCTGCTGTTTGTGCTGCTGCTGCTGCTGCTGCTGCTGCTGCTGCATGCAGACAGAGATGGAGAGACAGGAGAAGCGCTGCACAAATCGTTTAGTGTCTCTTATTGAGGAACAAAAAAGAGAAGGAAAATTAAAGGGTCTCTTTGATCGTTTAGGACAATTAGGCTGTATAGATAAAAAGGTCAGCTAAACCCTAAACCCTAAACCCTAATAAAACCCTAAACCCTAAACCCTAATTAAACCCTTATTAAATAAACCCTAATTATTAAACCCTTAGCCAACAGACAAATAAACACTACTAAAGGTATTGTTGCCTCCTTGGATGTTCCCTGTGAACTTGTATAGAAAAATCTCATTTCAAAATTTAGGGTTTAGGGTTTAGGGTTTAGGGTTTAGGGTTTGTGTATGTGTACAGTATGAAAAGGCTTTCTTAGCTGCTTCTGGTGGTTTTAGTGCTTTCTTTGTTGTTGAGGATCCAACAGATGCAACAGAATTATTTACTTTATTAAGAACTCATGATTTAGGAAGATGTAATGTATTAGCTCTTCGTGTCCTTGTAAACCCTAAACCCTAAACCCTAAACCCTAAACCCTAAAAGCCTTAAATTATCTATAAAAACCTTCCTATCCCAGTCTATCTTTCCTTAACCTAAAATAAACCCTAAATATAAACCCTAATATATATTTATCTCTTAAACCCTAGCTAAACCCTAGAAGCCAAACCCTCGAAACCCCAATAAGTAAAATAAATATAACGATTAGGGTTTAGGGTTTAGGGTTTATATATTTTTGTATATTTTTGTATAGGAGAAGGATTTACGTAATCGTATGGAGGAGGCAGATGCAGAAGCAATGAGGTGTACATACACCTCAGCCCCAAGATTAATTGATTTAATTTCCTTCTCTTTTCCTCGCATGCGTATTGCTTTCTTTAAGGCTGTTGGATCTACAAGAGTAGCAAAAGATATAGAGGAAGCTTCTTTTCTTGCATATAATAAAAAACAAAGAGGTTAGGGTTTAGGGTTTAGGGTTTAGGGTTTAGGGTTTAGGGTTAATTGGGGAGGGAGTTCAATTCCGATTTTTTGGGGAATTTTTGACAGGGTAAAAGTTTGCATTTCTTGTATCTAGGGTTTAGGGTTTAGGGTTTAGGGTTTAGGGTTTAGGGTTTAGGGTTTTTGTTACAGTGGTAACCCTTGATGGGGGTTTAATAGAAGTTGATGGACGAATGGTTGGCGGGGGTTTAGGAGGAGGGAACTGCAGCATAAGAACGGAGGGTTTTGCTGCAGCAGGAGTAGGAGCAAAGACAGAGGCAGAGTATCAGCAGCAGCAGCAGCAGCAGCAGCAGCAAGTGCAACAATTGCAGCAAACCATTAAACAATTACAAAATAATATTGCTGAACATAAAAAAAGACGAGTAAGTGTTCAGATACATCTGAATAATTTACTCTTTAGGGTTTAGGGTTTAGGGTTTAGGGTTTAGGGTTTGGAGGTATTATTTTTTTGGTGCTGCAGGAAGAAATGATTGCTAATGAGAGACACCTCGAGAGACAAAAGGCAGAAGCAGAATCTGCTGTTGAATTGTTGCAGCAAGATATTGCTGCAGCTAAGCTACAGGTTAGGGTTTAGGGTTTAGGGTTTAGGGTTTGGGGTACAGCGGTGGCAGGTAGCAGTGGCCAGTCACTTGGGTTAGGGTTCGGTTTTAAGTCGTTTTTTGTCTATTGTTAGGTTTTTTCTGTTTATGATTTAGGGTTTAGGGTTTGGTGGCTAGGGTTTAGGGTTTAGGGTTTAGGGTTTAGGGTTTAGGGTTTGTGTACAGAAGAGGGAGTTGGAGATGCGTGTAAAGAGAACAAAGGCAGAAGATTTAACTGCTGAGGAAAAGGAAAGACTATCTAAGTTACAGGCAGAGGTAAGTATCTAGGGTTTAGGGTTTAGGGTTTAGGGTTTATTTAGGGTTTAGGGTTTAGGGCTTAGGGTTTTGGTTGGTGCTGTGTGGGGTGTACAGGTATCGTCTATGAGTGCTGCTCAGGTGTCTATACACTCCAAGGTGCAGAAGCAAGAGCAGCAAGTGCAGCAGCTAATGCAGCAACTACAGAATGCAGGAGGAGAAGAAATGAAGAAAAGAAGAGCACAACTTCTTAAGGCAGAAAGAGGTAAATTAGGGTTTAGGGTTTAGGGTTTAGGGTTTGATGCAGCCCCATGTATTATTAAATTATGATGAATCTCTTTTGTCCCCCGCATGTAACATAAGCAAGTTACCTTTAAAGCCCCAATTATGCATGCATGCATGCATGCATATATGCATGCATGCATGCGTATATGCTTGCACCCTAAACCCTAAACCCTTGCACGCATGCATGCATGCATGCATGTATGCATGCATGCATGTATATTTACTGCAGCATTAAGTATATTAAAAGAAAAAGGAATAAAACAACAGAATGAATTAGCAACAAAGAAGGCAGAAATACAAAGAATAAATAAAGATCTAATTAGACTACAAAGAGAAATTAAATCCCATCAGGTATAAACCCTAAACCCTAAACCCTAAACCCTAAACCCTAAAACGTAAAATTAAACAATAAATACTAATCATTTACCCTAAACTATAAACACTAATAAAATATAATACATAAACTCTACCGATAAAACTATAAACCCTAAACCCTAGCTCTAAACCCTAAACCCTAGGTCTAAACCCTAAACCCTAAACCCTAAATTCTGTTATATGTACAGGAAAGATCAGAAGAATTAAAACAGCAGCTCGGGGGTTTAGAGCAAGAAGCAACAAAAACCCTAAAAGAATTAGAGGATACAACACAGAAGAAGCAGGAGCTGCAGCAGCAACTGCAGCAACTGCAGCAACAGCAGCAGCAAACAGAAAAAGCCCTCAAAGAAACAAGTCTTGCATCCGTAAGGCATTCCTTATCTCCTTCTAGGGTTTAGGGTTTAGGGTTTAGAGGGATTCATTGGGCGCACACTCCCTGTTGCTGCTGCAGTTGCTGCTGCTGCTGCTGCTGCAGTTGCTGCTGCTGCTGTATTTATATGAATGTTTGTGCATGCAGTTGGATACCCAACACTTATATGATTCATTAAAGCAGCAGCTGCAGCAGCAAGAGCAGCAGCAGCAGCAGCAGCAGCGGCATCTAACTGCTGCTATGAGTAGCTTAATGGAGATTGATGCAACAATAAGAAGCGAGGAAGAAGAAACAAATCAGACAGAGCAGCAGCAGCAGCAGCAGCAGCAGCAGCAGCAAGAGCAGCAGCAGCAGCAGCAGGGGGAGGTGCTAGCTCTAGCAGATGGTTCAATGGAAGAGGATGGAGACCCACAGCAACAACAGCAACAGCAGCAGCAGCAGCAACAACAACAACAGCAGCAGCAGCAGCAGCAGCAGCAGCAGCAGCAGCAAGAGTTTAGTAAGGAAGAAAGAGAATTGCTGCAGCGTTTATC